GGGAATGAGCCGGAGAGCTGGTTGTAGGGCAAGTTGCTGCGGGGAGGAGGAGAGGAGGGCAAGATCATGTTACAGAAAGATCAGCACGTGGAATGGCCGAGTCAGAACAGCCAGCGAGCCGTAGAGGTTAGAGAGGATGCAGGGAAATAAGTTGTAGGGCACGGTGCTGTGGGGGGAAAAGGAGAAGAGAGGAGGGCAAGAGGGCGTGTGCAATGAATGAGAAAGAGCATGTCAATGAGTCGGAGAGCTGGTTGTAGGGTGGAGAGCAACACGCAATGACTCTGAGTTGACAAGAGGAAGGGAGAGGCGGGAAGGAAGGCAGAGAGAGGAGCAACACGCGGAGAAAGAGAAAGAGCAAGAACTCGACGACGTCCTGTCGTATCTCACAAGCTTGTATGTCAAGCTTACATGCTGCTGTCAAGCTTACATGCTGTCAAGTGCTTGGAGATTTGAAAGGGAGAGAGGGAGAGAGTTGTTGAGACATGCTGACTTGATGTTTCTGGAAGCGGAAAGGAGATAGGAGGGGAGGGAACAGTGCGAAACAGGAAGTGCTGAACAGTGATGGTAGGGTAGATACTACTCAGTAGAACTGTGAGCAAGGGAAGAATAAAAAAGTGAAGGAAGGAATCGTACGGCGAAAATGTCTGCGTCGCTTGAAGGATATCTCAAATGGGAACCTAGAAGTGAAGGAAGAGAGACCACCTGGCAGTGCGAAACCAGCAAGCAGTAACTCTGAGTTGAAGACACCATTGAGAATGAGAAAAACATTATTCCAGACATTTGCTGATTGAGGCAACGGGACAATCGAGAATCGAATTCAAGATCCGAAGTTAGGGGTCGGGGGGTGGCGTGTTGAATGACAATGAAGCGCACAGCATTCTGAGGGATTTGAGAGGGGGTAGGCTATACCCTAAACCCAAAACCCCCTTAAAGAAAGCGTACAGCATTCTGAGAGATTTGAGTGAGCCCATGCCTGCTGGCAGGCTGCCTGATATGGGGTTGTATGACAGGTCCCTGATTGGGTTGGGACGGGAGAGGAGGGGAAGGATGGAAGGGGGAAGGGAGAAAGGAACAGGTGCACACCAGCTGGCAGGCAGGCTGCCTGATATGGGGTTACATGACAGGTCTTGCAGGGTGTTTTTGAGAATTCTCAAAAACACCCTGAGAATTATCAAAAACACCCTGCAGGTACACACCAGCTGGCTGGCATGCTGCCTAATATGGGGTTACATGACAGATCTCTGGTTGGATAGAAATGGGAGAACCCGTTTTTGAGGGGGTGGGAGGGATGGGGAAGGAGGGGTTTGTTGGAAAGGGCAAGGGGGAAGGTGATTAGGAAGGAGGGGGAAGGTGATTAGGAAGGAGGGGGAAGGTGATTAGGAAGGAGGGGGAAGGTGATTAGGAAGGAGGGGGAAGGTGATTAGGAAGGAGGGGGAAGGTGATTAGGAAGGAGGGGGAAGGTGATTAGGAAGGAGGGGGAAGGTGATTAGGAAGGAGGGGGAAGGTGATTAGGAAGGAGGGGGAAGGTGATTAGGAAGGAGGGGGAAGGTGATTAGGAAGGAGGGGGAAGGTGATTAGGAAGGAGGGGGAAGGTGATTAGGGCACACATCACTGGCACGCTGCCTGATATGACAGGTCTTTGGTTGTATGACAGGTCTTTGGTTGTATGACAGGTCTTTGGTTGTATGACAGGTCTTTGGTTGTATGACAGGTCTTTGGTTGTATGACAGGTCTTTGGTTGTGCAGGGAGAGGGCAGGCAGGAGGAGAGACAGGCTCTCTCTGTGAGTGAGGCGCCTCAACAACAGACTAATTGACATGGGGTTGTGTTGTATGACAGGTCTTCTGAAAGGGCAGATCGGATGGTTCTGATTCGACTCAAAATCCGTCCCAAAATCAAGAGATAAAGAGGTGACCTTTTGAGTCGACTCGAAAGTAAACCCGTCCCAGTCATGGAGATAAAGAGGTGACCTTTGAGTCGACTCAAAAGTACGGTCCTCCCAAAATCATGGATGGAGGCAGGCGGTTCTGGATGCAATGCAGGCAACTTATTGAGGCGCCTAAAGAAAGTCAAAAGTCGTCCCAAACATGGGAATCCGCGGTCCTGGCATGGCATTGCATACAGGGCATGAAGTTCCTTTTTAGTCGGATCAAAACACTGGCTACATCGCATCGCATACGCCTTTTTGAAGCGCCTACAAAAAGAAGTCAAAAAAGTTGCATGGAGATCGGCAGGCGGTCCTGGCGTCGCATACAGGGCAGGAGTTTCTTCAGAGAGACGATGGCGGGCCGATCCGATGGGATGGTTTTGAGTCGACTCAAAACCCATCCCAAAATCATGGAGATAGATAGGCAATTCGGGCTGCATCGCATAGAAGATGAGAAGTTCCCATACAAGGCAACGGGTTTCTTCAGAGAGACGATGGCAGATGGGATACTTTTGAGTTGACCCGAAACCCGTCCCAAGGTCATCAGAACACTGGCTGCAACGCATCGCATCGCATCGCATCGCATCGCATCACATCACATACAAGACAACGGGTTTCTTCAGAGAGCCAATGGCGGATGGGATAGTTTTGAGTCGACCCAAAGCTCGTCCCTAAACCATGGATGGAGATAGGCGGTAATGGTGGCTGCATTGCATGGCATCACATACAGGGCAACGAGTTTCTTCAGAGAGCCGATGGCGGATGGGATAGTACCCGTGATGTTGTTGGTTCCGAGGTACCTGCAGCATCACCGCATCGCATCGCATCGCATTACATCATACCGCATTGCATTGCATTGCATACAAGATGAGTGGATGCATAAGAGTGGATGCACAAGAGTGGATGCATAAGAGTGGATGCACAAGAGTGGATGCATAAGCAGCACCTCAGATCAGAGGCTTGAGATGTCTCAAAAGTCGTCTCTTCAAACAAAAACAAAGGGACCCATGTCCTCAACACAGCACAGGGGAGCTTACAGCTGCACGAGGTTAGAGAGGCCTGAGATGGCTCGAGGAACAGGCCCACTCACGATAGGGGGGAGGGGGGGGTGGTGGTGGTGTACTTACAGCTGCACGAGGTTAGAGAGGCCTGAGATGGCTCGAGGCACTAACCCGCTGATCATGTTATCCGTAAGAGACCTGCGCACTCAGAGAGGAGAGTGGGAGGGACATGAGAAGTACAAGGTCGACTGAGGAGGTCTGAGAGATAGACCGAGGGACAGGCCCGTTGGTGTTGACACTGAGAGACCTACGCTTTCAATGTCAACGTGGCATCAGCTCCTTTCAGTGCGGATGCGAGGGAGGGACGTCACAGAAGCACAAGGTTGACTGAGGAGGTCTGAGATGAACAAATAGAGGGACAGACAGGCCCGTTGGTGTTGACACTGAGAGACCTAAGCATTTAGTGCGGATGTGGCATCAGCTCCTTTCAGTGCGGATAGGAGGGAGGGACGTCAGTTGCTGTTTTTTAGTTCAGTTCAGTTCAGTTAAGTCAGCCAAATGAGTTTGGAGAGAGAGATTGACCTCTTGTGGTTACCATGTGGTTACCATGTGGTTACCAGGTGGCTTACCACGTGCATTACCATACCAGGTAGCCACCACACACCAAGGCAGGGCACACAAGCAACATACAGTTCTGTTAGCCGTTTAAGTTTGGAGATACAGCTTGCCCCACTTGTGGTTACCACATGGTTACCACATGTTACCAGGCGGCCACCGCACACAGAAGGGCTAACATGCAACGTACAGCTGAGTTAGCCGCCTGAGCCTGGAGATAGAGCTTGACCTGTTGTGGTTACGATGTGGTTACCATGTGGTCACCATGTGGTTACCACGTGGTTATCAGGTTGCCACAGCACTCCAAGGGGCACACATGCAACGTACAGCTGAGTTAGCCGCCTGAGTCCGGAGATAGAGCTTGGCAGAGTCGAGCCGAGCAGGTTAAATTCCAGATTGCTGCCGCAGCAAGGGAGGCAGGAGGAAGGGGGGGGAGTGTAGTAGACTTTTGAGTCGACTCAAAAGCCCACCACAATGGGTTAGGCAGCTTTTCGATAAGCAGAGGTATCACGGCTAGGCAATAAGGGCTGATGGAGATAGAGATTGGCAGAGTCGAGCCGAGCAGGTTGAATTCCAGATTGCTGCCGCAGCAAGGGAAGGGAAGGGGGGGGGGGGGGGGGGAGGGGGGGAGTGTAGTCCGCCTGAGTCTGAAGATAGAGGCCGGCAGAGTTGAGCTGAGCAAATTGAATTCGAGATTGCTGCCGCAACGGGCTTGGTTGGGGGGGAAGTGGTTTAGGAGGTAAATGATAAGCCGAGGGATGTGGGGGAAGGAGGGGAAACTGAAGGGGATGAAACAAGAAGGGTTGGTAGGGGGGGTTTTAGAGGACGTGTTTGTTTCTGGTTTGTTACCAGTAACTGGTTTGTTACTTCAAAGATGTTAAGAGCAGAACACATTGGTCAAGTAAAGAGAGTTACAGGAGCAGAACGGAGTATCAGGGGTGAAGCGAGGTGGAAATGGTTAAAAAAAAACGGGATTTACAAACTGCCATTTGTTTTTGAATGAGCTTACACTTGCAGCAGCATGGATGGCTGTGAGAGGAGAGAGGGAGCCAGAGGTTAGAAGGGGCGAGAAGAGATGCAGTGGGGTTCTACAGCAGGCATCGGGACAGCAGCTTACACTCGGCTCAGCAGTGGCATCGCTGTGAGGGGAGACAGGGAGCCAGAGATCTGGTTGCGAGACAGGTCCCTGCGGGCCAAGGCAGAGAGGCGGGCAGAGGGGCGAGGGGCGAGGGGAGAGGGGCGAGAAGCAAGGGAAGCATATAGACTCTTTGGGCAAGTGTGTCTGTGAGGGGGGTCGGGGAGCCGGAGATCTGGTTGCGCGATAGGTCACTGCACACGCGAGGAGAAGTGGGGGGGGAGGGGAGGGGAGAGGGGCGAGGAAGCATCTAGATTGCTTTGCGCCTCGAAAGCGAGGCTGTGAGAGGGGTCAGGGAGCCGGAGATCTGGTTGCGTGACAGGTCACTGCGGGCGAAGGGAGAGAGGGAGGCAGAGGGGCGGAGGGGTAGGGGAGAAGAAAGAGGGGCGAAGGGAGAGGGGCGAAGGGAGAGGGGCGAAGGGAGAGGGGCGAGGAGGAATGCAGTGTTGTAATTGTACACTAAATACAACATTCTCTTGGATTCTATCATGCAGGATCCAACCCATGTTGGATGAAGAGCACGAGACAACATTCCGCATGTGATGAGGCGATTTTTGAGTCGACTAAAAAATCGCCTCATCACACGCGGATTGTATGTAGAGAGAATGTTTGTTGCGTGGAAAATTGGTTGTAGCCTGCAGCGGTTACTGGTGCGCGCGCGACTTCTGGAGGGGCGAGGAGGAATGCAAGAGCCAACCCATGTTGCTGCAGGGTGTTTTTGAGAATTCTCAAAAACACCCTGCAGCATCGTTGGATGAAGAGCACGAGACAACATTTTGCGTGCTATACGAGAACCTTTGAGGCGCCTAATAAGTCGTCTCCCTACCCGCCTTTTTTTTTGCTTTTTGAGGCGCCTCAAAAGGCAAGGAATGCAGGAGCCAACCCATGTTGAGAGAGAGAAGACGAGACAAACTCCCCGCGCTATACGAGAGCACGAGCTTCAGACACTTGATGATGTAGCGAACAGAAATGTTTTACATGTGAGAAAATGGTTCACACAAGCAGCCTGCTCCACCATAGCACATGAGAGCTACTGCACACTTGTGACTCGTAACTGGCACGCGCGCTGTTCCCTCCGTACACGGACAAAAACAAGGACCGTTGCGGAAACGAATAAAAAATATTGATTAATTAAATAGCTAAAACACAAGCCTTTACACACAGTGTAACGAGCTTTTGAAGCCTGGAGATTCGTGCAGGGATGGACGAGGTCAGCTGGTTGGAAGCTAGCGATCTGAGAAGGGGGAAAATGGGGGGAGGGAGGGGGGGGAGTGAGGGAAGGTGGGGAAAATGGGGGGAGGGAGGTGGGGGAGAGAGGGAAGGTGGGGACAAATGGGGGGAGGGAGGTGGGGGAGTGAGGGAAGGTGGGGAAAATGGGGGGAGGGAGGTGGGGGAGTAAGGGAAGGTGAGGAAAATAGGGGGAGGGAGGTGGGGGAGTGAGGGAAGGTGGGGAAAATGGGGGGAGGGAGGTGGGGGAGTGAGGGAAGGTGGGGAAAATGGGGGGAGGGAGGTGGGGGAGTGAGGGAAGATGGGGACAAATGGGGGGAGGGAGGTGGGGGAGTGGAGGTGGGGAAGAACGGGGGGAGGGAGGTGGAAGCTTGGAGTGTTTCGCAGGAATGGAGGACGAGAGCTGGTTGGAACCGAGGGATCTGGGGAAGGGGAGAATGGGGGGAGGGGGGATGAGGAAGGGGGGATGAGGGAGGGGCGGGAAAAAGTGGAGTAGTATAGCGAGCTTCTGGAGCTTGGAGACTTTAGCGGGAATGGAGGAGGAGAGCTGGCTGGAACCGATGGATCTGAGGAAGGGAAGAATGGGGGGAGGGGGGATGGGGGAGGGGGCGGGAAGTGTGAATGGAGGAAGAGAACTGGCTTGAAAGGAACCAAGAGATCTAGGGGGTGGGAGAACGTGGGAGGGGAGGTGGGGGAGGGAGCGGGAAGAAGGCAGGGCGAAGAGGGGGGAACATTCTGTTGCACACGATAGTGATCTGGGCGGGCGGCATGCACGGGTGGAGCGGGCGGCATGCACGGGTGGAGCGGGCGGCACGCACCAGTCGAGCAGAGGCAAACGCAGAGGCAAACTCAGGGGAGCAGTAAGAAAGACGATACGGTTAAGTAAATCGTAACAAGTTAGTGCTGTGGTGTGGAAATATAGAGTGTGGGCGTACAGGTGTGTACGAGCAGTGAGTTGTGAGGCGCCTCAAAAGTAGACTCACCGTAACAGACTTAGTGCTGTGGTGTGGAGATATATGGAGAAACGAGTGAGAGGAACGTACAGGTGTGTGAGAGCAGTGAGGGCGGAGAGGAAGGCAGGAATGGGGCCGGCCAAGTTGTTGTTCATCAAGACTCTGTGCGACCAAGGCAGGGTGGAGGGCACATGGAGGGGCGGAGGGCACATGGAGGGGCGGAGGGCACATGGAGGGGCGGAGGGCACATGGAGGGGCGGAGGGCACATGGAGGGGCGGAGGGCACATGGAGGGGCGGAGGGCACATGGAGGGGCGGAGGGCGCATGGAGGGGCGGAGGGCGCATGGAGGGGCGGAGGGCGCATGGAGGGGCGGAGGGCGCATGGAGGGGCGGAGGGCGCATGGAGGGGCGGAGGGCACATGGAGGGGCGGAGGGCACATGGAGGGGCGGAGGGCACATGGAGGGGCGGAGGGCACATGGAGGGGCGGAGGGCACATGGAGGGGCGGAGGGCACATGGAGGGGCGGAGGGCACATGGAGGGGCGGAGGGCACATAGAGGGGCGGAGGGCACATGGAGGGGCGGAGGGGCAATGGGCAAAGGAAGAGAAGACAAATAAGAGAGGAGAGGGGAGGAAGGGCGGAATGGGGCCAGCCAAGTTGTTGTTCATCAGGACTCTGCGATCAAGGAGGGGCAGAGCGCAATGGGCACGTGAGCAGACGGGGAAATGGGCGTATGGGCAAAGGGCGCGCGTGAGCAAACGGGGAATCACGCTTCAGAAAGGGAGGAGGGGCAGGTGGGCAATGGAGGGGCAGGTGGGCAATGGAGGGGCAGGTGGGCAATGGAGGGATGGAGGGGCAATGGAGGGATGGAGGGGCAATGGAGGGATGGAGGGGCAATGGAGGGATGGAGGGGCAATGGAGGGATGGAGGGGCAATGGAGGGTGGTAAGGCCAATGGATGGAGGAGTGGAGGGGCACTCCTCAACACACATACACACACACACACACCCACACACACACACACACACACACCCACACCCGCCCACACATACCCACACATGCACACGTGCGCATGAACGCATGGAATAGTGTTATGCACACATACTGCAGGGTTGGGAACACATAGGTACGCATATTCCCCCACCCCCACACCCACCAATCCCCCAACACCCCCCTCCCCCTTCTCTCCCCCTCCATCCCCACACACACACAATGTGCACACAAATGCACGCACGCACAGAAGGAACAGTGATACCACGTACAAATGCCGCAGTCGCTTGAGTCGGGTGAAAGATGGGGGGATGGTGCCGCCAGTGGCAGCTGAGTCCATGTTACTGGGGGCAGGTGGGAGGGAGGGAGGGCAGGTGGGAGGGAGGGAGGGCAGGTGGGAGGGAGGGAGGGCAGGTGGGAGGGAGTGAGGGCGGGTGGGATGGAGGGAGAGATGGTGTGATGTAGGGAGAGGTAATTGCGTGTGAGTGTGTTTCCTTGAGACTGGAACCATGGTTGGGCATGCGATGTTACTGGGGTGTGATGGAGAGCGAGAGAGAGGAGGGATGCAAGGGAAGTCATACCTCATAGACGAGTGTGGGAAGTGAAAGGAGTGAGAAAGTAAAGGGAGGGAAGTGAAAGGAGTGAGAAAGTAAAGGGAGGGAAGTGAAAGGAGTGAGAAAGTAAATTGACGGAAGTGAAAGGAGTGAGAAAGTAAAGTGACGGAAGTAAAAGGAGTGAGAAAGTCAGTGAGGGAAGTCAAAGGAGTGACAAATTTAAGCGAGGGAAGTGGGAGGAGAGAGGAAGGGAGGAAGGTAGACTGACAGGCGGGTGAGGGGAGTGAAAGAACTGAGGGAAGGCAGACGGGTGAGGGGAGTGTAACAACTGAGGGAAGGAGAGAGGACTGACAGGCGAGTGAGGGAGGTGATAGAGCCGAGGACGGAAGGCAGGCTGGGCATGGCGCCGTTGCCCTCCATGCTCCTGGTGGGGCGGTGGCGGGATTTGGGGGGGGGAGGGGGGGGGGGGGGTTTGTCAAAAGGGGGGAAAGGGGTTGCGAAGGAGAGTGTGTGGCAGGAAGGGGGCTAGGAAGGAGGAGGGATGGTGTGGGAAGGAGGCGGGAGGATGCAGGGAAGGGGAAGGGTGGCGGGAAGGGAGGAGGGTGCAATGAGTGGATGGAGTGGAGTGGAGTGGAGTGGAGTGGAGTGGAGTGGAGCGGAGTGGAGTGGGGTGGAGTGGAGTGCAGTGGAGTGGGGTGGAGTGGGGACTACGAGTTGTGACGAGCGACTCAGTTCATTCTCCCAACAACAAAATCAAATGAACTCACATTTTTCGAAGGGCTGCAGGGTCAGGGTGACCCCTGGGATACCGAATGAACTCACACTGCACAAGCTCTCTCAGCCCTTGAATTGCTTTTGAGGCGCCTCAAAAGTCGCACACTGCACAAGCTCTCTCAGCCCTTGAATTGTTGGTCAACCAACCCTCGCAGCAACCCCTCCTCGCAGCAACCCCTCCTCACAGCAACCCCTCCTCGCAGCAACCCCTCCTCCCAGCAACCCTTCCCTCCCAGCAGTGCACGGCTCACAGTGATTCGAGGCGGGAGAGTTGGACGATGTCAGATGGAACGTCGGTCATATACGGAAGCAACCTGGTGGGGCGAGGTGGGCAGGGTGGGGCGAGGTGGGCAGGGTGGGGCGAGGTGGGCAGGGTGGGGCGAGGTGGGCAGGGTGGGTGGAGCGAGGTGGGCAGGGTGGGTGGAGCGAGGTGGGCAGGGTGGGTGGAGCGAGGTGGGCAGGGTGGGTGGAGCGAGGTGGGCAGGGTGGGGCGAGGTGGGCAGGGTGGGTGGAGCGAGGTGGGCAGGGTGGGTGGAGCGAGGTGGGCAGGGTGGGTGGAGTGAGGTGGGCAGGGTGGGTGGAGCGAGGTGGGCAGGGTGGGTGGAGCGAGGTGGGCAGGGTGGGTGGAGCGAGGTGGGCAGGGTGGGTGGAGCGAGGTGGGCAGGGTGGGTGGAGCGAGGTGGGCAGGGTGGGTGGAGCGAGGTGGGCAGGGTGGGTGGAGCGAGGTGGGCAGGGTGGGGCGAGGTGGGGGGAGGCAGGTCAGTTAGTCCAAAGGTCTTGTTAGCACAACTAGGAATTAAGGCGCACTCACACGCACAGCCACACTCGCACGCACACCCCCACTCGCACGCACACCCACACTCGCACGCACACCCCCACTCGCACGCACACCCCCACTCGCACGCACACCCCCACACTCGCACGCACACACCCCCACACTCGCACGCACATAGCATCACAAAAATCCTGCGTCCAGAAAGCCGATGAAAAGAGTTGCTTTAGAGCTTTGTCGAATGATTTATAAACGTATTGTTTCTAACGCTTTTTTGAGAAAGTATAGTACGCTTTCCAAATGCTTTTCAAATGCTTCTGCAATGCTTCTCTGTTCAAAGCTGCATCTTGAATACCTTCGACTGAAGTTTAATACGAGTTTTCCCGAAGTGATTTTAGAGATTAGATCTTATTGCATTTTACTCTTTAGTGAGTTTTTATGTTGAATTCATACTGCTTATAATTGGACATTCCACAAACGTTATTAATTTTAACAATTCATGATTCTTGTGATTGGGTTCAGATTTTCCATTAGTAGAAACGCCAACATAAGGTAAGATATATCCATAACACAATGGCAGATAAAAAGAAATAGAACTCCTCTCGCCTATTGCCGGGGCTGTGCCAGGACGTCGCGCGGCCCGTACGGGAGGCGCCCGACCCGCGCGCGACTCGGGCCGCATGCGCGCGGCTCGGGCGTCCCTACCTGGCCCGTGGTGGGCCCCTTTCTCCACACCGCCTCCCCCCCCCCCCCCCCCCCCTCCCCCCCTTTTCCCGTCGCCCGTCGCGGCTCCTTCGGGGGCCGCGAGCTGTGGGGTGACGGGTATGGTGGTGGCCGGTGTGCATTCCTCCCTTTGCTCCTCCTCCTCCTTTGTCTCCCACTGCTGCAGCTGTCGCTGAGGGGGGTGGTTGTGTGGGAGACTGGGGTTTAGGGTTTAAGGGGGGTGCGTGGGAGTGGAGCTAGCGGTGTAGCAGTGGGTGTGTATCAGGGGGGGGGGGGGGGGGGGGCGCGAAGTGGGGCGGCGGGGCCGCGACGGGTCGGTGGCGGGGCCGCGACAGGTCGGTGGCGGGGCCGCGACCGGAGTTGGCTGGGCCGCGACGTGAGGCAGCAAGGCCGCGACCGGAGGTGGCGGGGCCGCGACGAGTCGGTGGCGGGGCCGCGACGAGTCGGTGGCGGGGCCGCGAGAGTGGGGCGGCGGGGCCGCGACGGGTCCCCGTCGCCCGTCGCGACGCGTCCAGAGCGGGACGCGGCGAACGCCGCGGCAGAAGCCCGCCGCGCGCCTCGGGGCGCACAGCGGGCAGAGAACCGCCGCACGCCTCGGGGCGCACGGCGGGCAGAAAACCGCCGCGCGCCTCGGGGCGCACGGCGGGCAGAAAACCGCCGCGCGCCTCGGGGCGCACGGCGGGAGGAAAAAGTAGCAGCAGAAGCGAGGTGGTAACCCACCCACAGGATCGATCCAAGGGGATCGACCTGCTCTGATACCATGACAAAGTTTGAAGAAAGAAAGAGGATTGAACTAGCAAGAATGAGGATACAAATAGCAAACCCTAGAAGGGTTGTACTCGCTATAGAGCACCCCACTACAGGCTAGAACATAAGATAATATTCTGACAAGCACCTACTGCAAATCACCAAGCAACCCTTGCAGTTCACCATAAGAGTTAGCCATGAAATTTAAACCAGTGACATGTAAATTGAATGTTTACCAGAAAAAGGAGTGGTTGAAACCGAAGATTATTAGGAAATATAAAACCGCCTGCCAGCGAAATAAACGAACAAAAACGAAAGCGTTTCATTAGCTAGCAGTTCGGATAAGCGCAAGAGTAGGAACTAGCGCTTTCTTGAAGGAAACAGCACGACCTGCACACGGGGATAACAATGAATTAAAACGCGGAGAGAGATATGCACCGCGGAGCACAAGGCCTCACCAAGTAAACGGACTCCATGATAGTAGAAACACAGCCAACGACATTCGTTAGATAACAATTCCCGCTAAAACAGAGAAGGATCTAACGTGACCTTAATCAGAAAACAGCGCGACCTGGGCTTCGACCTGCACATGTTGATCAAGAGAAATTTAAACGAGGAAAGCACACGTACCACAGAGCACACACCTACACAAAGTAAACTGAGTGCACGAGGGGAGAGACACACAGCCAATTAGGTGCACTCGTGGCAATTGCGGAAAATAACGAGCTACTGGGACGGTTGAGACTATGGCGACAGTTGAAAATACGGCAACGGTTGAGACAATGGCAACGGTTGAGACTATGGCGGCGGTTGAGATAACGAGACTGGAAAACGTGCTAAGGAAGAACTAAACTAAAATCAGTCACAGCCACTCTAGAATAACAAAATGAGACCCCACTTCACCTTTTTGGTGCAAGCGTAACGGGTAGAGTGCAGGGAGGTGGTGTGGATGGGGTTGGTTAGTTGGCACAAGTTGTGGTGGTTGGGCTGGATTTTGTTGAGGTGGATGCAATGCCGGCTTTGATTGGTTGAACAAAGTGGTATGCTGAGCTGGATTGAATGAGGCGAATTTGGTTGGTTGGAGAGATTTCTGGCCTGGTTGGGGCTGGTTGGGAAAGTGTAATTGGGGGTTGGCAAATGCGCGTTTACATTGTTAATATAAAATGTAATACGACTTTGAAGCAGATATCGTATACTCGGATATTCTATGGACGACCCGGGTTCGAATCCCGGTCCGACCGTATCTGAAATCAGCCTTGTTCTCCCTCCAGCTTGGCCTTGTTTGCATCATTGACTTTTTGCAGTGCATGTTGTCCCATGCTGCAGAGACTCTGATGTGAACATGCTCTCATATTAAATTGCATCTACGTTGATAAACCATAACCTAGCTGGATTATAAAACACACTTCTTTCAACCTTACTATTGTCTCAACAATTAACATCTGACAAACATTCCATTGAAAACATTGCAAAACCATTACTAAAACATCAGCAAAGCATTTGGTCCAACAAAAATGATATACAAATGATATATAGATGATTCCAGGATGATTGTCAAACGATTTTTGAAAACTTGCTTTAAAAAAAAATGGTCAGATGATTTCCAGACGCACACATTTTTGTGATCCCCACATTCACAAGTCACATGCCATGCCGGTCACATGGATGGCCCCGCACGCCGCATGCGATCATGAGCAGGAGGAAGCTTCCCCACCCCACCCCACACACACCCGCACACAAATCCACACTCGCACGCACATCCCCACCCAACACTCGCACTCACAAGCTGGTCACATGGAGGGCCCTGCACGCCGCATGCGATCATGAGGAGGAAGCCCCCGCACTCCAGACCGTGCCCTCCTCACATCCCCACCCCACCCACACACACCCGCACACAAATCCACACTCGCACGCACATCCCCACCCAACACTCGCACTCACAAGCTGGTCACATGGAGGGCCCTGCACGCCGCATGCGATCATGAGGAGGAAGCCCCCGCACTCCAGACCGTGCCCTCCTCACATCCCCACCCCACCCACACACACCCGCACACAAATCCACACTCGCACGCACATCCCCACCCAACACTCGCACTCACAAGCTGGTCACATGGAGGGCCCTGCACGCCGCATGCGATCATGAGGAGGAAGCCCCCGCACTCCAGACCGTGTCCTCCTCACATCCCCACCCCACCCACACACACCCGCACACAAATCCACGCTCGCACGCACATCCCCACCCAACACTCGCACTCACAAGCCGGTCACACGGCCCTGCGCGTCGCATGAGATCACGAGCAGGAAGCCCCCGCACTCCAGATCCTCGTCACTCACTCCCGTGGTCGACGCATTCACCACCATCTGCAGCGCGGACCCTGGTGTGGTGGGGAGGGGATAGGAGGGAGATTGGGAAGGAGGAGGAGTAGGCAGTGAGACAGAGAACCCCCCGCACTCCAGATCCTCGTCACTCACTCCCATCCCATGGCTGATGCATCTCACCACCATCTGCAACGCGGACCCTGGTGTGGGGGGAGGGGTGTGATGTGGGTAATATAGATGTTTTTGGGGCGCCTTATAAGAGGAATCCCCCGCAGACCAGATTCCCGCCAGTCACGTCGATGTTCGACGCATTCACCACCCTCTCCAGCGGGGATCCTGGCAGTGGGGAAGCGGAAAGGGGGGGGGGGGGGGGGCATCTCAAAAAAGTCGACCTTAAGAATGGCAATTTAAAGCCATAATCGCCCTCTGTATGGCAGGTTTATGGCCCGAAACTGGCAGGCTGTATACAGGCAGGTTCGTAGGCATTTAGGGTCCGTAAATTCCCCGCCTGTGTATCGCGCGGAATGGCTGTTTACACCAATATTCAGGTACACCTCAATGCTTGTTCATGGCTGTATATGGCATGCAAATGTCTAGAAACTGGCCCGCAGTTTATCGATTGTTAAAGGCGTGCAATAATTGCCTGCTTATTGGAGGCACAAAAATCCCTATTAATTGCCGTGCCATTATTCAAGTCTGTCATAAATGGTGTTACATTGGCCCAAACTATACTGTCATGGACAAGTTGATTATCCTTATGTAAGGAGACAGAATTTATTCGCATACCTATTCATTTACCACCCATCCAGTAAACAGTACCCGAATTAATCGTTATATTTCTCATAAAACAGTTACATTAGAAGGCACACATAGAGTCAGAACGCTACCTATCCTACAGAGCAACCTTGCGGTAGCCCTACACAAGTCCTTCAAATGCAAACTCAAATCCTTCGATGAGGATTTTCACAGCTCCACTGCCCATAACAAAACCTGCAGGAGCTTCATCAGAATAAACAGCTTCGCGTGCTTCGAGCCGGGCCTTGATCCAAGAGATGACAACAAGAACCTTTGCAGCCACGGCGGCCCTGTTATTCTCATCAGAGGCATCCAGGGAGGGGTTGGCACGGCCATTGTGGTTTGCCATAGGCCACTCCACCTGCAGGAAACCACAAAGGCATGAGTGCATATCTAATATGTATTGAAAAAATAATGACCAACAGGAAAAGAAAAACGACTTACCACATGGCAAATTGTTGCCACAGCAGGGATCTTGACGTTGAAGCGGTTGCAGCGCTTGCCGCCAAGTCCTTTGCAGATGGCGAGCTCGAACGGTCGGCTGGCAAAAGGGCGGCCAGATCCGTCACAGTGCCAATTCAAACCATACACAGCTGCCAGGATTAAACGGGACGGGAGTTTTAGACTGTAGGGGTGTTGTTGCTAGTAAGCGCTACAAAAAAAAAAAAAAAAACTCACCATCCCGAAAGTGGGCGTGCCACTCTGCAGGCGTGCGGCGACGCGATGGCGCAATGTTCTCGCTCGCAAGCATCGCGACTTTGTTCTCGGTGATATAGCCACCAGGGCCATGCGCGTAAGGCTTAACCACCGCGTAGATGTTGCAACGGCGCTCCGACATCTTCTGCAGCATGATGCGCTCGCGCTCGGGATTCTCCGCCATCACCCGGTTGAACATGTCAAGTGGCACCCCGACGTCCTCGTACAGCTCCTGCACTTTGCGCCTAAGCTGTGCCAGGGAGGGGTAAAATGACTGCTCTCTCGCTGGAGCTCCCGCTATGAAGTAGTTGACCGCGTCGTTGCACTTTTGCTGCACATAACGACGACAACGAAGAATAGGCATTTGTTAGAATTAAAAACGAGTCAGTCAGTCAACGAGAGATACAAAGTCAACAGTACGAACTTTAAAAATCCAGCACACTAACCTTGAAAAATGATAGGTCCAGGAGCACAGGGGGGATTGCCGCACCCTCCTGCACGACTGGAGCCGTCGATGGCCCAGGCGCGTTGGTGGTCGTGGGCGGGCTGCTGCGCTGCGCAGTTGCGTGCAGCAAACCAGCGCCAGCTCCGGTACTCCGGCTGTTGGAAGATGATGGGCCGGGGCTACCTCCCGTTGCTGGGGCAGGCGGCTGGCGGGCAGCAACGACTGCTCGCATTCGTGCAGCCTCCTGTTCCTGTTCTTCCAGCTGCTGACGGAGGGCCGCGAGTGTGTCGGCCTGTTGCGCAATCGTCCGCTCCATGTCGCGGTTCTGTGCCACCTGCTCATTAACCGGAATCGGTCGAGCTGCAAGGTAAAAAACAAAATGGAAGAACAGAAAAAAGTAGGTTAGTAGGTTGCCCGGACGAAACTATGTGGCACAAACGTCAATTTGCAAAAATACAGAAACCGGACAGAAGTTACTAACCTGGTTGCTTCGGCTTTTTCCCACGTGCTGACGCGTGAGCCGCTGGGTCAGTGCCCATGAGGCCAGCGACATCGGCGCTGCGCCTTCGGCTCTCAGGACGGTCATCCTCGGCCGGATCGTCCTGAGGCAGTACAACGGGAGTTTCGGCTAACTCGCACTCGTCTGGATGTCCCTCACCCTCGTCCTGCTCCTCACCCTCGCCAGGACCTTCGCCCTCGTCGATTAGAGCGTTGAGTTGGTTATCCTCCGGATCGGCGTCAGGCTGAGACGTATTGGCGGCAACATCTGCTGTTGCGGGATTTTTGTTAGACTCCTCCTCCGCGGCTGTTTCTGCAATGTTTGGGTCGGGAAGTGACTGGTGTGCAGTGCTGGCTTCTTGTCGCTGCAATTCCGCGTTCAACCTGTCCCTCAGTGCAGCAAGATCTTCACGAGACATTTCTTGCAGCTCAGGGTTGCGAGGAATTTCTTTGTTACCAGCACCCTGGCGAGTGCTGGACCCCCCAGTCTTCTTCGTTGGTGGCTTGTAACCACTAGTGTCGTGACCAGCCAGGCGAACTGAAGTCGTGAGTTGGCGTTGAGGACGACCAGGAACTTGAGCCTGATTGACGCGGGCCTGGGTTAGGGGGGCACCAGTGGCAGCGAGCTGATTGGCCATGCTGAGCGTGCGGGAACGATTGGGGGGATTGGTTGGAAAACTGTGTGCGACGATTGATCCGTCGCACAAGCAGTCATATATGCCGATTCAACACACCTAGCGAACTGATTTCATTGGTTGTTCAAACCATGAAGCAATGCGTTGGAGAATCGTGCGAATCGCAGACTAGTGCGAGTCGCAGGCTGTACCGCGAACCACGATTCGAATTCTGGCGAATCCCTCGGCCCGCGCACCATCGAACGTTCTGCACAGATGCACCCCGAGCTGCAAAGAGAATCTATTTTGTGGTCACAGCGACCGGTTCGAGGGGTCCCGCCACGTGGCGCATTATAGAACTCACAAAAGTGGCGCATTGTTTGTGATCTGCACTACACTATGGATGTTTTAAATATGGGGAATAGCTCAACAAAACTATAACATGATTATTCATGATGTGTGGTGCAAACTATGGGAGCATGTCTTGTATATGCTTGATCAAATATGTACAACTACATGATATGACGCTTCAAAATATAAAATGGTTCAACAACCACAAAGGTTCACTAGCTTGGGGCTGCACAAGGTGGACGGCACGCAGTATACTCGTCGTCTCTACCACCCGATATCTCTGATTCATTGCAGCCCACTTGAGCTGCTTGCAGTGGGTCTTCTCGTCTGGCTCTGGAAGTGCGTCGTAGTACTTGATAAACGCATAGTTGCAACGATCCCTCCCATGCCCAATGTGAAACAGGAGGAGCACCTTCGCGTACCACTCACCGGAGCCATGAATGGCTACGTCGGAAAACCATCCACGTCCGTGAAACACAGGCACGGCACGTAACCGATGTGGAATGGGTCTAAACGATGGGTGCGTAGCAGGAGGCATGGCCAACTCATTGTGCACATGAATGGTAGTTGCGTTCTTTGTGGCCTCTGAGAATCGGTTAAGGGCTTGCCTTAGGTGTCGGAGGTCGTCACCCAATGCAGTGACGTATCTCTCGTCACGCACCCTCGAGGGAATTGGGAAACTTACGAACGGTGCCTCACGACGGCCTCCCAAGACAGTCAAAGGCCATGCCGATCGTCCCATGATGCGCCTGCCAGTGGCCATTGCCTGCACATTGAAACGATAGGCGTTAGTGATGGCACAAGCAATTGTTGAGATTTGCATCAAATTGCCTTGACTCACCTCGCGCATAGCGGTGTTGTAATGCGTCTCTGTCACTTCCGACGCACCAAGAGAATCCACTGCAAGTTTGGTCTCCTCTGCGCGCACAAGTTGCCCTGATACATCACGTTTGTTGGACGCACGATAAGGCCGTTTTATGTGGTCCTTGTGGAAGAACTCGGAAATGTTGGCATCGTAGTGTATGGGTGGGCCCGCACGACGGATGGCTTCGACGTAATGGCTTATCAGGTGCATCTTGATGAATCTCCAATTTGAAGTTTGCTTAAACGCGGTTGTTTGTTGATCGATCATCCTGCAGACAAAGGAAAGCACAAACACACGTTAGAGAACCGAGTTCAGCAACGTTTGATGCAAACAAGTAGGTTTTCTTACCTCACGGCTAGCTCCTGCAACTCTTTCAGGGTGTTGTCGTCGTATGTTGTTGCCTTTGCGCACTCCGTGTACCAACGAAGGTACGATATGATAGCGTCCGTTTGCGGTTGCGCGATGTGCGAGGAGACGAGAAATGACAGAAGTTGCATCACTGAACGATGCTCATACGCTTGGTAGGAAGCACCTAGCTTGAAGTATTGCCCAGACGGCAGCCGTAATGAATCCCACTTACAAATATGTTTGAGGTATTTGAGCCGCCTGAAACATGGACAGAACAACAAAGTAGTGAGTAGGTGTTTAGATGTGGAGGGTTACACATGAGCCAACGTTGCCATCATTGCAATAGTACATACCTATCGATTGCTTCACGTGTTGATTCGGGTATGATCTCACGCAAGGCTGTGAGGATATGATCGAGAATGCCCAAGTCCGCTTGGTGCATGAGATCCGGCATGACTGCTAGGTATGGGTTCCCCCATTGCTCCGACTCAAACCTCCATCCCCAGAGTGCGCTCTGCATAGACAAGCGACGCCAAATGAATGGAAGCGGAGGTAAGGAAAGGTGAAACATATGATAAAACCAACTTAGACACCATGAACAACTGACCTCGACAGGATGGGTTGAAAGGTCTTCCACTGCTGCCTCCCCACGTCGTCTTGGTGCCTTTAGAGCTGTGCAAATGTCCTGTTGCTGTTGGACGGTGCGCCATTTTAAGTGTGTCTGGTATTCAGCCAGGTCATTCTTATGGACGGTGCATAGTGAGCAGGGGTAAGTTGTAGCCCCCGACTTCGTACAAGTTATCTTACACGTCTCTGGGTAGTCTGCGATGTAAGCATACAGCGCAGGGTATGCGGTGAATGAATGGCCCGATGCGTCTTCCACTCTAGCGCCCCTGTTTAGAACACGTGCAAAAGGAAAGCAAAAAGGTTAGTAAATATTGTAGCAAAATCCATTCACTCACAAATGTTGTTGGGCTAACAATACCTATGAACACAAACTTACACATGACTGGCGGCCTTGAGGGGCTGTAAAGCCTTTCCAAGAACCTTATGGAATACTTGTAGACGGTCAAGTGATGTGTACTCGGGAGGAAACTCCGGCAGCAATGCAATCATCGCATGACCGTGTGGTTTCCAACGGTCCTCACGTGCGATGTTGGCCAGCGACATGTAGATGGGATGTCCTTTAGTCTTCCCTCTTGAGTCCATCATCGTTTCGTCTGAGGCGAGAATGATGGTTGCAACAACATCATCCGGTCCAAGCTTATCCTGTTTGGCGAAACAGTGGGTCGACAAATGGTGGTGCCGGGAAATAACAAGTGTGAGGTGAGCGAAAATGAAACACATGGCGATGGCCCAACCAACAACCCGCAACATACCTGGACGTTGTTCCAAAAATCTGCCGTCTCGGGTGCGTCGTAGACACGAACGTTATTCACAATCTTCCGATGAGCTCTTGTGACGAGTCCTCGAGCGTTGCGGGAATCGCGCAACAGGGACTTCATGGCCTGGTTGTCGAAGGCACAGAAGTGCAAGGGAGGGGCAGGTCAGGGTAATGAGGGGTGGGGGGGAGAGGATTAGGAGGATGAAAGGATGCTGAGAGGCCAATACGGAGAATGAGGAGCAGGGAGGGTGAATGAGGGGTGGGGAGGGAGAATGAAGGGGTGGGGAGGGGAATGAGAGGCAGGAAGGGAAAAGTGGGGTGAGGAGAGAGAATGAGGGCCAGGGAGGGAGAGGGAGGGGTGGGGGACAGAGAATGAGGTGCAGGGATGGATCATGAGGCGCAAACAATGGAAATGAGGGGCAGGCAGGGAGAGGGAGGGGTGGGGGACAGAAAATGAGGTGCAGGGATGGATCATGAGGCGCAAACAATGGAAATGAGGGGCAGGCAGGGAGAGGGAGGGGTGGGGGACAGAAAATGAGGTGCAGGGATGGATCATGAGGCGCAAACAATGAAAATGAGGGGCAGGCAGGGAGAGGGAGGGGTGGGGGACAGAAAATGAGGTGCAGGGATGGATCATGAGGCACAAACAATGGAAATGAGGGGCAGGCAGGGAGAGGGAGGGGTGGGGGACAGAAAATGAGGTGCAGGGATGGATCATGAGGCGCAAACAATGGAAATGAGGGGCAGGCAGGGAGAGGGAGGGGTGGGGGACAGAAAATGAGGTGCAGGGATGGATCATGAGGCGCAAGCACAGAGAATAAGGGGCAGGGAGGGAGAATTAGGGGAGGGGGAAAGGGGA